GTGGGGAGGGCCTGGGAGACAAGAGGAAGCAAGCCGGGTCACGCGCAGGCACCGGCGGCATGATGAATGTGATCGTTGTGTGTATCTAAAACCTGTATCTAAAACCTGCCAAGGCGCGCTGCGTGGCAGGCCATTGATCTGTTTACTCAGCCAACGTGAGCTCGGAGCGGGTGGCTTCTGTCGCTTGATGCGGGTGTGACAAGAAGTGAGACGCAGGCGTGGGAGGGAGAGCGGGGAGGGAGCAGGAGCGCTCTCAGGTGGGAAGCCGTGAGGCCGTCAGGTCAGGCAGGGCTCTGGCTGGGTTCTGTCCTGTTGCGTCTCTCCCAGGACACAACTGAGGGCTCCACCGTGTCTCCGTGTCACCAGTGAGAGGCTCAGAGGCAGCCACCACCCTGGGAACCTGTGATCCCAGCAGGAGGCTGAGGCAGGAGGGTCACAAGCTCAAGGGCAGCCTGGACCAGCACCGTTGGGGTCCTGCCCCCATCTCTAGCGCTTCCCTCACTGTCCCATTGTCCTCCTCCCTCATCAGCGTGCCACACGGGACTCGGATGATTGATCGATTGATCGATTGATCGATTGATCGATGTGAATTGAACCCAGGGCCTCACACGTGTGAGGTAAGCACTCTGTCCCTGGACTGCATCCCCAGCCCTTATTTGGAGACAGGGTCTCTGTAAGTCCCAAATTGGCCAGGCTGCACTCAGACTTTAAACCGTCCTGCCTCAGCCTCCTGAGTCACTGGCATGACAGGGGTGCACACCAGAGAGGGTCCCTGTCCTGCCCCGCACCTTCTATAGCTCCCCACCGCCGCACAGGAAGCACCGGTTCTTCCTCTCTGACCACAGCGCTCTGCCTCCAGGCCCTGGCACTTGGCTGCCTCAGCACCTTTGCCCTTGCTGCGCCTCTGCCTGGAACACCCTCCCCAGGCTCCCCGGGTTGCTGGAGCCACCTTCCGCCCCACCCGCTTCCTCAGCAGCATTTACCCTGGCTGCCACGAGTCGGGGGGGGGGGGGAGGGCTGGGGTCCACCCTGGGGCGTCCACCCTGGGGCCTCCACCCTGAGCTGCATCTCCATCCCTTTCTTAGTGAGACGGGTCTCACTGAGTTCACAAGGCTGGGCTCTACTTTGTAATCCTCCTGCCTCAGCCTCCCAGAGAGATGGATTACAGGTGTGTACCACCACGCCCTGTTCCCAGGGACTTTCTCAGGAGGCCTTGAGCCCTGACCCCGTCAGGCCCCTGGGCAAGATGTACTGGCCCAGAGCCCTTTGCCTCAGTGCAGATGAGGACAGTGTCCTCCTCCAGTGACGCCGTGAAATACTCCCTCTTAGGCTTGGCTTGTGTATGCTAATGAGGACCCTAGGCCCCTCAGGAAGTGGCCATCACTGGGGCTGGACAAGAAGGAGGGGACTCTGAGTCCTGCCCCAACCTCCAGGGAGGGGAACAGATCTTAAGGCCGAGCCAGTCACCATAGCCAGGGATGGTGTCCATCTGAATGGCCCTTGGTGAACTCCTATGCATCCTTCAGAACTTCAGCTTAAATATCCACTCTTTGCTGCTGGCCTACCTCTAACCCCATAAGGGGGGCCCTGTCTGGGGTTCAGACATCTCAGCTTCCTCAGAAGCACTCAGAATATCTTTGAATGAATGAATAATTTTCATCTGTGCATGCAGGGGCCCCATGAGTTCCCCTGGACGAACCACACAGCCCCGCTTGGCTTGGCCAGAACCACTTTGCCACGTGGATCTAGCTGTGGCCGGCTGAGGCTGCTTCCTGCTTGAGGCTGTCATACCTCGTGACTTTGGGGGTGCCCTGGCAAGCAGGGGAAAGGATGAGGATCTTGATGCTGTCCAGCCAGGGCAAGTATAGGGAGGGAGGAGAGACTGTCCCCGCCAACTCCTACGTGAACTGCACAAACCCCACCGAGAACCGACACCGGTCGCATACCACTAAGGGAATGAGTGAGTGATTTTCAGAGGTGTGCTTTGGGATAGGAGTGGCTATTGGGTTGCTGACCTTAGAATCCTTACATTTAGCAAAACCAGAGTTCGGAGAAGAAAGAAAACAAGGTAGCCAGGCAAGACTGTTTCACATGTAAAGAGTTCTTACAAAAATGCAAGCAAATCCAAAGAAAAGAACAAGCCTTGCTGAAATTCACTGAAACCAAATGGTCACCCGGAGAGGTTCTCTCTCACCCTGAAGCTCCAAGTCAGTAACAGAATCCCCCTTTCCCATGACCAGGTAAAAATGAATGGTGTGTGTTTGTTTTGGTTCATCTTGCTAAGTTGTGTTTGCTAAGTTGTGTTTGTTTTGGTTCATCTTGCTAAGTTGCCCAGGCTGGACTCAAACATGTGATCCTCCTACCTCAGCCTCCCAGAGTGTGATTTGACTATCTGAGGCTCCCAGATCCACTTTCCAGGAGCAGAGTCCCTGGGGCTTAACTGTTCTGGTTCCAACAGCTCCTCCCTGCCCCAGGGCCTTCACACCTGCTGTTCCCACCCCACCCCCAACTCCTCTCCCCACACTCCATGTAGCTGCTGTCCCTGCTATTCACTGCCGTCTCAGCCCGGTGTCTCCCAGGCCTCAAACTTGAAAGCAGCCACCAGACCCCAACTCTTCCTGCAATTCTGTGCACTGCATCGCTGGTGTCCGGGGATCCTGAGAGTCTCAGAAGCAATCCTGTCCGGTACATGCTAAGGCAGCCCGGAGCTGGCTTCAGAGAGGGGCTGTTCCGTAAGAAGAAACCAAGGCAGGAGGAGAGGGAGGGGACTTAGAGCCCCACCCCAACCTCCAGGGAGGGGAGCAGGGCTGCTGATCACACACACCTGGGGATCGTGTTCCTCCTGACTACTTAATGAGCTCACACAAAACTCTCATGGACAGGTTCAGAGAGCTTCCTGCTGGGGGATCGTCAGCCCTGGCTGGAGTGAGTGATCATGTAAGTTCATCCTAGAAGCCGTTATTTTTTAAGATGCTGTGGTCACTCAGTACCCAGTCATTCATTCATTCACTGAACACCTACTATGCACCAGGAGGCCGGAGAAGAAATAGTGAAGAGGATGGGTCACACAGGACGTGTTTCCCTCCAGTAAGGGAAGTGGGCAAGAACAGCCCGAGGTCCAAGTTTTACCGCGTGTCCTAGTGGATACCATGTGCTATAGGAAAAAGAAAAGACAGGACATGGTGGGGAATCAAGGGACCCCCGAGGAAGAGACATAGAAAAAGGTGGGATGGAGTTACTGGAGCGAGGTAGTCCAGGAAGAAGTGATCTCGGCAAAAAGCAGAGCAGAAGAATTTGAAAAACTTAAATTTGGGCCCAAAAGGAACCATGTGAAAAAGTGAAGCCAGTTCAGGTGTGGGTGCTGAAAAGATTAGCACCATTTAAAAAACGAACGAAGTACTTTGTACATGGACCAGAAAAAAGTTGTCTTGAGGGCATCATACACATCAGCAAGACCCCACCTGTCTCAGGCTCAAGGTGCAAAAGTGTTCAGCTTTTACTTGAGAAGAGAGCTCGTGGGCCTCCTTCTCAAACAGGGCCATCTAGGGCCCGGGTTCCCAGGATTCACTTCAGCGTGCTCAGCCACCAGGCACTCAGAGGTCTCTGTAGCCATGGCCTCAGGGGGCCCAGCTACTGCTCAAGCTGGTGGCAGACCGTGGCATCATCCGTGTGATGCAGGTTTTACAGCCATGGAGAATGCAAGACTTGTGGGGTCCTGGAGGTGCCCTCCCAGATTTCAGAAGGTCTGGGAGGCCAGGCAGTGTGTCTGTGAGAGGGCAGCATGTGAAGCTGTGCAAGGACAGAGGAGACCCCAGTACATTAGGGAAGTCGAGCATTTGGAACTGAGGGAAGCTGCAGGCAGCAGACAGAACCTGCTCAGGGGGGATGCCATCCAGGCTGCAGTCAGCAAGGCCTCAGGTGTAGGGCCTTTGCATCTCACATCTCATCACCCTCTGCCCAGGTGCTGGGCATGGGGGTTACGGATTCAATGTTTGCCCTGCTGGGTCTTGATCTTGCTCTGGTCCTATTCTTTTCTACCCCTTTCTTCCTCCTTGTGGGATGGGGGTGCTTACCCTGCACCATTGTACTTCGAGGTTATGGAACTTTTTTTGTTGTTTTTTTTACTTTCTACAGAGGTTTGTGACTAAACTTTACCTTGAGTCTCAGAGGAGACTTGGACTTGGACTTTTTAGCCGTGCCGGGGCTATTGAGACTTTGGGGAAAGGAACTACATTTTCAGTTGTACGCAGAAGAGTTGCGTTGTGGTAGGCAGAGTCAGGAAGCTGCCGTTGGCTTTATCTGGGGATGACTGTGCTTGAAGGGCGGGTTTGGGTGTCAGGCTGAGAGGGAGTGGATGTCACCTCAACCTTCACTGGTCAGATCGTTGGCCGAAGAGATTCCTGGAGACTTAGTCAGGCACACTCCTAGGTGTGTCTAGGTGGGTCGTGGAATGTGACACTGGGGACCACACCTGGCTCCTCACTGCTTCCTCTGGGGCACCACCCCGCCCCACTGCCCACCCACCACGAGCCAAGCAGATTTGTGCCGCCAGCCCCTGCTGCCACGCCGCTCCTGCCTTGGAGCCGGTCCCCACGGACTGTACCCCCTGAAATCACCAACCAGAGTTAAGTCCCTCCTTGAAGCCGTAGGTGTGGGGTGTGGCGCCCCAGGGAGAGGAAACCTGGTGCACATCAGAGGACAAAGTCTCTGCAGCGTTTTTACATCAGGTTGATTCTTCCCGTTTGGGCCCAAAAGGAACCATGTGCAAAAGTGAAGTCCAAGCTGGTCTCCCAAGGCCACACAGCAGAATCAGGAAGTGGAATCTGAGGCCAGTTCAGCACTGCACGTAGATGATGTGGCCCCGGAGGCCCTGCCGGGTTGCGGTGGGGCACATTTGAGGAAGAGCCTCGTGGAGCCGAGAATGAGGCCGCGCCCCCAGCGCCAGCGTGGGCCTGCAGCCCTGGGTGGGGTGCCAGAATGTGCTCTCTGCTTGCTTCCAGGCGGCAGGTGGCGAAGGGTCCCAGGGAACAGAGGGGCCTGACGAGACTCACTGACGACAGCACACCGCCGGAGGTGCTGTGGGGAAGGTTCCAGCCCGGCACTGACATCCCAAGGCTGCCTGAGGTAAGCGCTGCAGTCTCCATAGTCACTCAACAAACACTCATTGAATTCCATGAGGTGTGGGTGCCAGGAGCCCCTCACACCTTCACAACTCTGCAACAGAGTTGAGAGAAGCCAGGGGAAGAGATTATTTGGAAGGGAGACCCAAGAGCTCAGCCTGGATGTGGGATAGGAAACCTTGCAAGAGGAAGAGTCATTAGAGCTGGGATTTTGAAGGATGCATAAGAGTTCACCAGCTAGAAAGTGAATGAACTCACTCATACTTCACATTTCACCCAGCACTCCCTGCTTCCCCTGTGCTCTGCCTCATACTTCGAAATGCCAGAGGCCCCAAGGTGCCCCCAGTCCTGGGAAAGACAAACCAGACACAGATGTCTCCATCGAGTCAGCACTGGGCTGGAGAGGGAACAAGGCTGAGCAATGCCCAGCAGTGAACCAGGACCCTTGCTGATGGGTCAGTGGGGGCTTCCTGGAAGATGGAGCCCTTGGGATGGGTTTTAAGGGAGGAATAGGAGTTTGCCAAGGAAGACAGCTCTCCTGAAACACACTGGGCTTGAGGGTCTCCGATGAGCCAGGGACCACTAACAGCTGCTGAAAATAGGAAGAACCAGCAGCAGCTGCCATCAAAAGCCCCTCTTCCTGGGATGGGGCGGGAAGCAGGAGGGACCCAGCCCTCTGCTGGGATAAGAGTCCCCCCCTCCCTCCGAAAAGGAGGCTCTGGGGGTATTGCCAAAGCAGGGACAGGTGGAGAGAGCAGAGCACCAAAGGGGAGGGCATTTTGCTGCCTCCGCCCTGCAGTTTTTCCTACAAAATGAGGTGCTGTAGCTAGGCGTGGTGGCACACACCTGTAATCCCAGCACTCAGGAGGCTGAGGCAGGAGGATCATTGCAAGTTCTAGGCCAGCCAGGACTACAAAGTGAGCTCAAGTCCAGCCTGAACTGCATAGGGAGACCCTGCCTCAAAAAAGACAAAAAAAAAAACAGTGGCTGGGTGTGGTGGTGCAAACCTGTAATCCCAGCACTTGGGAGGCTGAGGCAGGAGGATTGTTGTGAGTTTGAGACCAGCCTGGGCTGCAAAGTGAGCTCAAGCCCAGCCTGAACTGCATAGTGAGACCTTATTTCAAAAAGACAAAGAAAGGAAAAAGAGGTGCTGCTAAATAAAACATTTAATATCATGGGCTGGGGGGGGGGTTACAGCTCAGTGGTGATCACTTGCCAAGGACGTGCGAGGCCCTGGGTTCCTTCCCCTGCACCCCTAAAACACAAGGGCCAACACGGACTGGGGTGCTGGAGGGGATCTTGGAAGGGATGGGCTGGGAACAGGTCCAGGGCGAATTCCAGGCCTTTGCCAACCTGGGCAACTGTACATGTGCAGCCAGGCATCCAATGCGTAGCTCAGAGAAAGCATCTCGTTGCCCACAGGAGCCGTCGAGGGACCCGGCCACCAGCATGCGCTGGCCCCGCTCGCTGCGGTATGACCTGAGCCTGGTGCTGGCCCTAGGCGCCGTCATCACGCTGGTGCTCCTCAGCCTGCACGCGGGGCCCATGGCCTCCCTGGAGACGGAGCGACGGCAGGGCGCACCCGAGACCTCTGAGGCCCCTGGGGCCCCCGCTGAGCCCCCCGCGCGCCCCGCGCCCGCCCCGTGCCTCCCCAACACCTCGCTGGCCGCGCACCCGGACTTCGCGACGCAGCCCGCGCACGTGCGCGACTTCCTGCTGTACAGACACTGCCGCGACTTCCCCACGCTGCAGGAGCCGCCCGCCGCCAAGTGCGCGCCGCCCGTGTTCCTGCTGCTCGCCATCAAGTCCTCGCCCGCCAACTACGAGCGCAGGGATATCGTGCGGCGCACGTGGGGCCAGGAGCGGCAGGTGCAGGGCGCCACGCTGCGTCGCCTGTTCCTGGTAGGCACTGCCGCCGACCCGCACGAGGCCACCAAGGTCAACCGGCTGCTGGCACTGGAGGCAAGGGAGCACAGGGACATCCTGCAGTGGGATTTCCATGACTCCTTCTTCAACCTCACGCTGAAGCAGGTACCAGGAGGAGGGGAGGAGAGACCTTCCAGGAAGAGGTCATGAGAGCCAAGGTTTTGAAGGATGCATAGGAGTTTGCCAAGGGGAAACAATAAAATTTTACTCATAAATGCATAGTACAGCTGAGGCATGGGGACCAGAGACACCCATGGGTCCCTCTTCTCACACCTCCAGTCTTCACTGACCATGGGGGTGGCTCCTCCTGTAGGCAAGGCTGGGAGGAAGGGCAGAGAGGCTGAGATGACCAGCATGGGTCTCCAGCAGGGTGGCATAGGAAGATCACATACCTCTCTGTGCCTCGGTTTCCCTCCCTGGGCAATGGGATGGGACGAGACCCCCCCTGCCTCTGCAGGTCCCGCGGTGTTGATGAGGTGCCTGCGTGGATCCCCGGCACTTGACCCACCCAGGCCATGAGGCAGATGTGCCGTGTCTCTTTTTGGCTCCCTTCATCCCTGGAGCTGAGGTCTGGCCCCGGTGCTAGAATGAGGCGCTCACTAGGGACCTGTGCTGGGAGGCTGAGGCAGGAGAGTCTCCTGTTCAAGCCTAGCGACGGGCGAGAGTCTGTCTCTAGGTGAAGCATGAGCAGGTGCCCTCAGCGGTGGGCACAGAGCGGTGGCCGGGCCCCCAGGGCCTTCACGGCATCTCGAGGCCATGTCCCCCTCTCCCAGGTGCTCTTCCTGGAGTGGCAGAAGACCCGGTGCCCCAACGCCAGCTTCCTGCTCAACGGGGACGACGACGTCTTCGCGCACACGGACAACATGGTCACCTTCCTGCGCGGCCTCGACCCCGAGCGGCACCTGTTCGTGGGGCACCTGATCCAGGGCGTGGGCCCCATTCGCGTGCCCTGGAGCAAGTACTTCGTGCCGCGGCTGGTGACCCCCGACGAGCACTACCCGCCCTACTGCGGGGGCGGCGGCTTCCTGCTGTCGCGCTTCACGGCGCGCGCATTGCAGCGCGCGGCGCCCGCCCTCGACCTGCTGCCCATCGACGACGTCTTCCTGGGCCAGTGCCTGCGCCACCAGGGCCTGCGCCCCGCCTCGCACAGCGGGGTGCGCACGGCCGGCCTGCGCGCGCCCTCCGCCCGCCTGTCCTCCTTCGACCCCTGCTACTACCGCGAGCTGCTGCTGGTGCACCGCTTCCTGCCCTACGAGACGCTGCTCATGTGGAACGCGCTCGGCCAGCCCGACCTGGCCTGCGGCCGCCGGACTCAGGTCTACTGAGGCAGCCTCCTGTTCACATGCAAAGGGACACCACCTTCCTGCCAGGAAGCTGAGGCCTTGGCCTTCCTACGTGAGCTGAGGCGAGGGTGTGCTAAGGAGAGCTCGATGTGTGAAGACACTGCTGGTCAACTCCTATGCATCCTTCAAAACCCACTTGATGCTGCCCACACTGTGCTCTCTAGGCTGCAGGGACCTCAGCAAATGTCACCAACTCCTTTTTGTGGTGGGGAATGACAAGAGGCACCTCTGCTAGGGCTCCGGCTGGGGGTGGGTCCAGCCCATTTGGAGGACAGCATCACCTCGCAGCACCAAGCCAGCACTCGGGCTGGACCCTAAGCCACTTCCTGGAATTGAGGCTGAGTCACCGCTGCAGTTCAAGGCCAGCCAGGACCACTAGATTCACAGGAGGCTGAAGTGAGGGGTATTCAGAGCCAGGAGAGAGGGGCCCCAAGGCCTCGGGTGACAAGGACCGGGATCCGACACCCATCCCCACGTGAGGGGCAGAGGGTCCTGCTGGCAGGCAGATAGAGGAGGGCGGAGGCTGTGGATAAGGTGGGTGCTCAGGGCCTCTGGGGTCCCCAGCAGAGCTCTGTCCCACACCTGGGTCCTCAGGACACCAGGGAAGAGCACTGGGCCAGAGGGGTCTCCAGCAGCCCCCTCCATGAGGACCTGGGGTCAGCAGGGCTCTGGGGCCCTGGCTCACAGGCATTGTGGAGGTTTGGGATGGGTTGGACACAAGTTCTCAGGGAATAAAACCATTTGTGCAAGCCTGGAGTTCTCTGTGTTTGTTTGGTTTTGGTTTTATGAGGTTTCACTGCACACGGCCTCAAACTCACAGCGACCCTCCTGCCTCAGCCTCCTGAGTGCCGGGGTTACAAGTGTGTGCCACCACGCCTGGTACTTCTGAGAAGTGTCTGTTCACTTCACCTGTGCATCTCCTGTTGGGTTTTTTTATTTTGGGGAGTCTAAAATTAGAATTCTTTATATATTTTAGATATTAGTCCTCCGTCTGAGGAACAGCTGGCAAAGATTATTCCCCATTCTGTGGGTGTCTCTTCACGTGGGGGGTGGTTCCCCTTGCCAAGCAGATGCTTTTTCATGTGATGGGATCCCATGTGTTGATTCTTGTTGTTACTTCTTGTGCAGTGGGAGTTTAGAAAGTCCTACACCTCTGACTTCAAGAGCTGTAACTATTTTATACGCCAGCAGGCTCAGTGTTTCTGCTGTGTGGTTTAGATCTTTGACCCATTTTGATTTTAATGTAGTACGTGGTGAGAGACGGGTTCGGCTTCAATCTTCTGCCCACAGCCAGCTTTCCCGGCACTGTTCGCTGCAGCGAGGACCTTCCCAAAGTGTGTTTGGCCCCTGTGTTGAACGTCACATCCCTCTGTTCTGTCCCGCTGGTCCACAGTCTCTGTGTGTGCCGGTCCCATGCAGTAGTGGGTTGATAACTGGTGGTCGGTTTATAATCCCCAGCGGAACTGGGTAAGCTGGTGCTGGGTGTGGGAGGCCCACCTGGGGATTGTTGCCAGCAGCATAAGAGGCAGACCTGGAGACGGAGATGGAGGCTGTTGGGAGCTGAGGGAGGCTGTTGGGAGCTGTTGGTTCTCTTGGAGGAGCTCGTCGTGCTGGTTTTCCTGATGAACTCAGCTGTTTTCATCCTCTGAGGAGCTCGGGACCTCGCTGGCACTGAGATTGGCTTTGGTTCACTTTGGGGAGCTCTGGTCCTCACTTTAAGCGTCGTTTCCTGGCTCCGGAGGGGAAGATGGTGCACTGCCAGCCTTCTGGATAAGTTTGCTGCATTGGCTTCCCTAATAGGAACTCGGCCATCTTGATCATCAGAGGAGCTCAGGACCTCACTGTTGCCCGGGATGGCTGTGGTACCTTTTGGGGGAGCTCTGGTTCTTCTGAGCATGGCTTCCTGGCTCCAGTGCAGATCCCTCAGCCTGCTAGCACAGATCCTTCATCCCGCTGGCACAGACTTCCTAGATTCCACCACTGACCTTTGGGCCTTCCTAGTGCAGATCTGTGAAAGAGACCTGCATGAGACATTGTTACGGGCTCTGGGCCTCCAGGTGGACTCGTGGGAGGCATTGTTATGAGCTCTGGGTCTTCAGCTGGACTCATGCCAGACATTTCCATGGGATCCGGGCCCTCGGCTAGTTTCCTTGGTCTTAGTGTATGGACAGGTTTCCTGCACTCTTTTGTATATCATTCTCTGGGTGACTATTATAAATAATCTTTAAAATGTGTGTCCTGTATTATATTGTTCCCCCTTGCAAAATAAGCCCCAAACCAACTCACATGCTGTTTCTATCACTGTAGCTTTGTAGTATAACTTGAAGTCTGGGATTGTAATACCTCTTGCTTTGCTCTTGTTTATTATTGATGTAGGGGAACACTATTGACTTTAGGGGTTTTTTTTTTTTTTCTTTTTGAGACAGGGTCTCGCTGTGCAGTTCAGGCTGGCATTGAGCTCACTTTGTAGCCCTGAGTGGTCTCAAACTCACAACGATCCTCCTGCCTCAGCCTCCCAAGTGCTGAGATTATAGGTGTGTGCCACTACACCTGGCCACTATTGATTTTTGTGTGTTGATTTTTGTATCCTGTTACATTGCTGAAGTTGGTTAGTAATCCTAAGAATTCTTTGGTGGAAGTCTTTCAGACTTCTGGATAGAGTATCCCATTGCCTGCAAATAACGGTAATTTGAGTTCTCCTCTCTTGTATGTATCTCATAAACCTTTTCCTGTTTCCTCATTGCTCTGGCTGACGCTTTGAGCACTGTGATTAACAGACAAGGTGACCGTGGACATCCTTGTTTGGTTCCGGATCTTAGCAGGAAAGCTTTCGGTTTCTCCCCGTTTAATATGATGTTGGCAACTGGTGTGTCATAAATGGCTTTTGTGAGATTCAGGTACAGTCCGTGTGTGTGTGTGTGTGTGTGTGTGTGTGTGTGTGTGTGTGTGTGTGTGTATTTGTTTGCAGACAGGCTCTCACTAGGTAGCCCCGGCTGTCCTCACACTCACACTGATCCTCCTGCCTCAGCCTCCCGAGTGCTGGGAGGACAGGCATGCAGCACCACGCCTGGCCTAGATATGGTCTTCTATACCTTCTGCAGGGTTTTTTTTCATGAAGGGGTGTTGGGTTTTGTCAAAAGCTTTCCCCCCATCCACTGTATGACCGTGTGGTTTTTGCCCTTCCTTCTATAGGATGTGCTACGGTTACTGATTTGCCTATGTTGAACCATCCGTGCAGTCCTGGGATGAACCTCACTGGTCAAAATGTGTAATCCTTTCGATGGCTTGCTGCATTCTGTCCGCTAGTACCATGCTGTGGATTTCTGCCACCCGTGTTCATGAGGGGGATGGACCTGTGCCGTAATTTCCTTTTCAGGCGTCGTTTGTCTGGTCTGGGGTGCGGAATGAGCTTGGGAGCTCTGTGCCCCTCGCAGCTTCCCTGAAGGGCTGGAGGAGTCGCAGTGTGTTGTAATCAGGAACTAGATTCAATATAGGATGCCTCATTTATAGGATCATTTTATAATATTCACCCAAAAAACCACATGCAGAGGAGTCCAAGACATCTGTCCATGTGCTAGAGACCCAGAGAACCCAGCTGAGGGCCTGGATCCCACAGCGATGTCCTGCACGAGTCCAGCTGGGGGCCTAGAGCCCGCGACCATGGCTCATGCCAGGCTGTACCGAGGATCTGCACTGGCAAGGCCCAAATGTCGGTGGTGGAAGCCAGGAAGTCTGCACCAGCGTGGTGAAGGATCTGTGCCTGCGGGCTGAGGGATCCGCCCTGGAGCCAGGAAGTGATGCTCAAAGTATAGACCAGAGCTCCCCCAGAGAACCGTGGCCAGCCTCAGCGATAGCAACAACTCCAGCTCCTCCGAGGATGAGAAGAGCCGAGTTCACACCAGGAGAACCCGCGTGTCAGACTTCTGCAGGAGGATCAACAGCGCACCAAGCTCTCCTGTTATGCTGCTGGCAGCGACCGGCGGGTGGGGCCTCCACACCCAGCGCCACGCCGGCTGAGTTCAGCTGGGTGTGGCAAGTTAACCATTAGTTAATCCACCGCACGGCCATATAACATCCTTAATTTTGTGGAATTCGGCCGCGAACCCATCAGCTCCTGGGGTTTTTAGTTGGTGGGGTTTTTTGATTACTTCCTCAATTCCATTGTCATTGGATATGCAGTATGTTTATGACTTCTTAGTTTAGTTTTGATAGTTACTATGAGCCTAAGAATCTGTCTGTTTCTTCAAAATTTGGTAATTTGTTTGAATATAATTTTTCGTAGTAGGGCCCGGGATAAAGCTCAGCAGCACAGTGTCTGCCTGGCAAGCACAAGGTCCTGAGTTCGATTTCTGGTACCAAAAAAAGAAGAAAATTTGCATAGTCGTTACCCATTTTCTTCTGGATTTCAGCAGCACCTGTTGACACCACGTCTTCATTTCTAAATGCGTGGATGTACGGAGTCCTTTCTCTCTTTTGGTGAGTTTGGCTAAAGATTTATCTATCTCATTTACTCTTTCAAAGAACCTGCCCTTTGATTCGCTGACTCCTTGTATCTTTTGTAGTCTCAAATTCATTAATCTCTGCTCAGATCTTTGTGATCCCCCTCCTTAATTTCAGTCTGGCTTGGATTGCCGTTTCTCATCTATCTTGAAGTTCCTCATTAGGTTAGTTACTGGACATTGCTCTGTTTTTCTATCTTTTTTTTTTTCAGCTTTTCTAATGTGAGCCTTGACTGCAGGGAACTTCCCCCTCAGGACAGTCCCGTGGGTTCTAGCATGCTGTACCAGGGTTGCCATTTGCTTCCAGAAATTCTTTAATTTCTTCCTTGGTTTCTTTTGTGGCCGCCGTGTGTCGAGGATGGTGATATCAAGTTTTCGTGTGTTTCTAAATTTTCTGTGGTTTCTTCGTGGTTGGTTTCCAGGTTCACTGCACACTGGTCTGATAGAAAACACGGGCTGATTTTGATTGCTCAGTATTTCCCAGAGCAGGCTGTGTGGACTAGAATGTGGCCAGTTTTGGAGAAAGTCTGTGTGCTGCTGAGAATGTACTCCATGGCACTGGGATAGAGCGCCCTGGAGGTGTATACTGAGCCCGTATATTCAAGGGTGTGACTCAGTTCTGACATTTCTTTTTTTTTTTTTTTTCTCTTTTTTTTGTCTTTTTGAGACAGGGTCTCGCTATTCAGTTCAGGATGGCCTTGAGCTCACATTGTAGCCCAGGCTGGCCTCGAACTTACAGCAGTCCTCCTGCCTCAGCTTCCTGAGTGCTGGGATTATAGGCCCGGCTATTTGATCTTTTATATCCAGCAATACTTGTTTTATGAAGATAGGTGCTCCTATATATATTTCCAGCATTATCATGTCTTGTTGGATTGTTCCCTTAACTCACGCAGAGGGACCTTCTTTGTCTCCTCTGATCAGTTTTAGCGTGAGGTTTATATCATCTGCGGGTAAAATTGCTGCCCCTGCTGCTTTTCAGGGGCCCAGTGCGTGAAATACTGTTTTCCATCCTTTGACTTTTAATCTATGAATATCCTTTTGGATTAGATGAGTTTCTTGAAGGCAAAAGACTGGTGTATTTTGCTTTATGATCCATTCTGCCAATCTGTGTCTTTTTTTTTTTTTTTTTTGTAACGGGAATTGAACTCAGGACCTTGTGCTTGCCAGGCAGGCGCTTATGCCCCTGAGCTATATCCCCAGCCCAATCTGTGTCTTTTAACTGAAACTATTAACATTGATAGATATTACTGAGAGGTG